CTTTGATATTATCGGGATTGATCTCGATTCCTTGGTTGGACACCATGAACCCGAGGATCTTATCGGCATTGGACCTCATGTCCACAATTTCAGTATATTAAAAATTTCATGAACACAATTTCATGTTGTACTTTTTAATATACTGAAGGTTTCCTGCAAATACTTTAAATGGTCCTCTGCTCGCATGGACTTAACTAACATATCGTCAATGTAAACTTCCATGGATTTTTTTATTTGTTCTTCGAACATTCGATTTACTAGTCGTTGGTAAGTGGCATCGGCATTTTTTTAATCCAAATGGCATTACATTATAGCAGTATGTGCCATACTTAGAGATGAAAGAGGTTTTGTCTTGATTATCCGAGTTCATCCGTATTTGGTTGTACCCGGAGTAGGCATCGAGAAAACTGAGGATCTCGTGGCCGGCCGTGACATCGATCATGCGATCGATGTTAGGCAAAGGGAAAGAATCTTTGGGGCATGCTTTATTTAAATATTTATAATCCACACACATTCTTAGTTTGTTCCTCTTTTTAGGGACTACTACTACGTTTGCTAACCATTTCGGGTATTTGACCTCCCGGATGGACCCTATTTTAAGGATTTTAGTTACCTCATCATTGATGAAGGCGTGCTTGACCTCAGTATGGGGTCTCTTTTTCTACTTTACCGGATGGAATTTCGGGTCCAGGCTCAGCTTGTGAGTAGTGATCTCCGGTGGGATCCCTGTCATATCGAGATGGGACCAAGCAAAACAATCCATATTAGCGATAAGAAATTGAATGAGTTTTTTCCTAAGCTCGGGAGTTAACCCCGTGCCTAGGTATACCTTTCGATCGGGCAGATGCTCGATCAATACGACCTGCTCCAGCTCTTCGACCGTTGATTTGGTGGCGTAGGAATCATCGGGGACCATAAAGGATCGAGGTACCCCGTAATCATCGTCTTCGTCAGTCCCCTTTATGTCCGGTTGGGTCGAGGCTGACACCGGTGATTGCTATTTGGCTTCCTACTTTGCTTTCGAATCTGACTCTTTTGCGGACGAGAGCGTTGATATCAGAAATACTTCATCGACGGCAAACATTTCCTTTGCGGCAGGTTGTTCCCCATAGGCCGTCTTAATCCTTTCTGGTGTTGGAAATTTTAATACCTGGTGAAGGGTCGAGGGCACGACCCTCATGTTGTGGATCCATGGCCTCCTGAACAGGGCATTGTACCTCATGTCCCCTTTGATTACATAAAACTTGGTCTCCTGGGTGGTACCAGCTACGTTTATCGGCAACGTTATTTCTCACTTAGTAGTTTAGCAAGCCATGTTGAATCTGTTTAGCACTCGGGCCACAGGTACGATTTGGTTCTGTAGGCCGAGTTGCTCTATGACCCTCGATCGAATGATGTTGGCCGAGCTACCTGGATCAATTAGCACACGTTTAACTCGAGTTTTATTTATGAGTACAAAAATTACCAGTGCATCATTATGGGGCTGCATGATTCCTTCTGCATCCTCGTCGTTGAAAGATAAAGTTCCTTCTAGAATGTAATCTCGAGTCCATTTTTCCCTTGTGATTGATACTTTGGTGTGCTTTATCATTGGACCTTGAGGAACGTCGACCCCTCCGATGATCATATGAATGATGTGTTGGGGCTCGTCTTGTTCATTTTGTTTATTGGAATCCCTGTTTCTGAAATGATTCTTAGCTCGGTCACTCAGAAATTCTCGAAGGTGCCCCTTGCTGAATAACCAGGCTACTTCTTCTCTCAATTGTCGACAATCCTCCGTTTTGTGGCCATGTGTGCCATAATATTTGCATATTTGGTTGGGATCCCTTTGTGTTGTATTGGTTTGTAAAGGTCGAGGCCAGTCGGTACCTTTGATGCATCCGATAGCCGATACGATGGCAGTCACATCAATATTAAAGTTATACTCTGATAATCGTGGTGCCTCTTTGGGTCCGATAGGTCTATCGAAGCCGTTCTTGCTCATGAGCCCTCGAGAGCTTTGACCTCGATCACTTCTCCTTTCATTTCGTGCAAAATTTCGCCCAGATCCGTTTCTCCTACTATCTCCATTATACGGTTGATATCGATCTCTGTTCGATCTCGGTTCTCGGTCAATATCTCTCTCGATTCTATCGACAGGTCTGATAGGATAAAAGGATCCGGAAGGAGCCCCAAGTTGATCGTCCACGACCCTGATCTTTGATTGATATTGATTATGCACATTGGCCCTGTTACACCCCATGTTTTCGTACGTGGAAGTACGCCATAAGTAAATTGATATAAGCTCGAAAATGAGATGTTACATCCCAATCCCGCATTTTTGTACGTTAAAGTTTTATCGTAAATTTATGCTATTTATAACGGGCGATAAGTAAGTGCCGTGAAGACTAAAGGGTAAACGAATCAAAGAAAATGAGTTTAGTTGAAGGTTGTCAATTTGGGATAAAATGCGATCCGAGCTATAACACCCGGAATTTATGGACTAGTTCCATACAAGGTACCACATGACCATGATAGTAGGGCACATAAAGTGTGTTAAAAGTGAGTAGTATTTTAAGTAATTTGAGATAATTCTTAATTATGTTGCTAATTGGTTAATTATTAATTAATGGGAGATTAAGAAGTTGATTAAGGAATTGTGGATAATTAACTAAGGTCTTTGGATGAGCTTAAGGTGTCCCAAACATGGCAGCAAATTATGTGTGAATTAAAGCTCAAATTAGTGACTCTTTAGTATATGGTAAGGTGGCACATTTTGGAGGATTTTTTGTGGCTTAGCCATCACAAGTGGGGTCCACTCTCTTTGATAAAAGAAACCATCTTCCTACATCATTAAAGAGAAATGACATATGTTTACTTAGTAATGGATGATGGAATTCTCTGAAGGAATTCTTATGAACCCCTACAAGGTCCAACGTGAAATGCTAATTCAAACAAAGTCCGGTACAATCTTTCTCAAGAATATCATACAGATTTTTCCCTACTTCGATCCGCCTTTAAGTGTTTTCGCAAAAGAGAATCGGTTCAGGTATGTTAAGGCTATCCCTTCTTTCTTTTTGGCATGATCTATACGACACGAACGAAACGAGCAAATGCACAACTTCCATAAATGACTCTATTCATAGAAGCATTAGAGGTGCCTATGTTCTTGAATTCCCATATGTCTTATTATTCTATCGTCTGTTCATGGGTCTCAGAAAATACGTAAGTTGATAAAGTTTATTTCATGATATTAATCAGAGGTATAATGGTCTTATGACATTTCGAGAGATTTTATTGATGTACTTCTCATGTATTGCATTTATTTATACATGTACATTGAACCATGACCAGACGGTGTATATACGGGTATATATATGTATATATGTATATGGGATATGGAAAAAGGTTACGGCGTTATATACGCACCATCACCTGATTAGCTAGTATACGTTTGTGATTTTGCCCAAAGTGGCCGAGATGATATGATGGGATGCCCTCAGAGGCTTGATGAAGTTATGTACACATATACCTATGCATGGTATGGCATTTATACGCATATGCATGACATTTTAAATATTAAATGATTCACAGAGCTATTCAGATTTACATGTCGAGTCTTTTACTCCATGTTTCTCTCATGTCCATTAGTTACTGATTTTTATTCCTTACATACTCGGTATATTATTTGTACTGACATCTCTTTTGCCTGGGGACGTTGCGTTTCATGCTCACAGGTTCCGATAGACAGGTTGAGAGTCCTCGAAGTAAGCTATCAGCTCAGCGAAAGGTGTTGGTGCGCTCCATTTGCTCCGGAGTTGCTTATTTGGTCAGTATGATTTGGTCAGGTATTGATTGGTATGTCGAGGTACTGTCCCGGCCTTATGACGTTTATGTACTCTTAGTGGCTTGTAGACATATGTCATGTATATGAATACTTGTATGGCCTTGTCGGCCTATGTTCTGAGTATATAAGGATCATGCCGGCCTTATAGGCCCGCACGTCATATGTATAAGTCAGTATATCAAGTTGAGTATTTTCTCATATTTTATTCTACTTATCTCACGACAGCCTTTCCATCTCATTTACCTATAAGAGTATGATACAAAAAGATACGTTATGTTGGTACTCGGTTGAGTAAGGTACCGGGTGCTCGTCGCGGCCCATCGGTTTGGGTAGGGACAGGCCCAAGTAACAGCTGGGTATTCTATCAAATTATGCTTCAACTGTTGTGAAGCCACTGAGCTTAGAACATTGAGTCCTTGAGTGAAAGCTTGAAAATCCCAATCATCAGTGACCGGTGGCAAGTCCATTCGTTCCATTTGGAATTGAGACACGAATTCTCTGAGTATTTTGTTATCCTTCTGCCTTACCTTGAAAAGGTCTGACTTCCTGGTTTCGACCTTGATGGCCCCAGTGTGTTCCTTTTGCGAAAGAATCTGCAAGCATAGCAAATGAGTCAATAGAATTAGGTGGTAAATTATGGTACCACATCGTAGCTCCCTTTGACAGGGTTTCCCCGAATTTCTTTAGCAAGACAGATTCGATCTCGTCATCCTCTAGATCATTCACTTTGATAGCATACGTGTAAGAGGTGATGTGCTCGTTCGGATCGGTTGTTCCATTATACTTATCAATCTCGGGCATGCGGAACTTCTTGGGGATTGGCTTCGGAGCTGCGCTCGGAGAAAAAGGTTTTTATACGAATTTTCTTGATATTCAGTCCCTTCAATATTGGCGGTTCCCCCCTGGATTTGATCGACCCTGGAGTTGTAAGTTTCCACCTTTTTGTCTTTTGCATCAATCTTCTTTTCCCCCGACTCAATTTGTTTTATCAATTCTTCGAGCATCTTCATGATTGCAGGATTGGTCTCCGATTCTTTCTCATTCGATTTTATTAAAACCGATTCGACCCTGTGTACAACTTCCTAGGACGGCTCGAGCTCGACCCTGCTCGGTGGGTGATTCTAGTTTTAGAGCTGGGCCATTGCTGCCTGCTGAGCCTGCAACATTTCGAAGATCACCCGCAGGATGATCCCGCCATCTTCACTGCCACGTGCTCTTTGAGCGGTTGATCAAACATCCCCACGGACGCTGCCTTCGGGATCGACGACAAATTTCCGTTGATAGCTACATGTGAGCTGACGTCGATTGGATCTATAGCTGTAACTCCATCAAGGCCAACCAGGGGTACATTGTTCCTAGGTGCTATGTTACCATTTTCGCCGTGGTGGCCGAAATCATTGTCAACGTGTAGAGGTGCTGACTAAGAGTTTGACATTTTAGTCCTGGAATCAAAGATACTTCAAAGAACAAGTGTAAAATAGCGTGTGTTACGAAAGTTTGTACCAGGTAATCACTATTATCCTTAGCCCCACGGTGGGTGCCAAACTGTTTACCCTTAAAACGGATAACAATTGAATTTATACGTGGTTTTAAGGATACGTGATATAACTTGGTACAAATTAACAGAATAGATTAATATCGAAATTGACGATAAAAGAATAAATGCAAACCACACGAATCGAATAGCCTTGGCCCTCGAGTTCAATCACCCTTGAACCAGAGATGTTTCAATTGACGTATGAACAGAGTAACAAGATAATAAAAGCTAGAAAATGACACTATATTGCTTTGTGTTGCATAAAAATGATGTGCTTTATAAATGATGAGACCCCTTTTATATAGTAGGGGAATCCTACTCTTGATACAGTTCTATATGAGGTAAGAAATCTCATGATTAGTTAATTAATCGGTCTCTTCTTGATACGTGCCGGGATCTCCGCCGTGATCCTCGACCGATTGCGAATATTTTGGCTTTCCGTTATTTGGCTTGGTAAGTTTCCCTCGTTCTTGCTCGGTCTCTACCTTGCTCGGTCTCGATTTTGATCGGTCTCTGGGTCACGAACTTGACGATCTAATTTTGCACCATGGTTCGATATAATACAAGGTCGAACCTTAACCTATCATATTCCAGTCTCGATTAGTCACACAAGGGACGAGCCCGGTTTTGACCGTATACAGTGATAAAAAGCTAAAACAAAACTCAGTCAAGCATCTGGTGCTCCTTGTTGTGCTCGCGTCTCAAGTGCGAGGGCTATCAGGCCAAGCTTCCAAGGGTCTCATGCCGTAAGGGACCTGATATTTGGAAAGTAAATGCCAGCTCTGCTAGAACAAATTCTTGAGCACTGTGAGCCTCATCACGAGAAGCTCACCTGGTCAGATTCAAGAAATTACAAAATTAGTCGCAAGAGCTGTTCATGAGCCAAATGTTTGGTGCAACAAACCCTTGTTGTTGTGAGGCCCCTCACGATATGGGGCCTAGGCGTGCCAATCCCTTCGCTCAATGACCTTGCATTGCGAAAAAGCTGCTAGGTACAAAGAAACAATTGGAAAATTTTATTTTGTGTCTCATACAACTTACGCTAGTTGTATGAGGCAACTTTTTGTCTCACAGTTTTGTGAACCCAGCAGTGTAAGATTGGGGTCCACAATTTTGTGAGACAAAAAGAAGCCTCATACAACTAGTGTCAGTTGTATGAGACACAAAATAAAACTTCTCGAAACAATTTGCACAATGAGGTTCGCGTTGCGAGCGAGGGTTCAGATTCCTAGGCTTATAATTACTACCTGACAAGACTGGGGGGAAGAGATTATTGAGCTTGGGGAGTTAGGGCTACGGCCTTTTGAGGTTATTTCGAGCCAAGAGATTATTTCACTAGACAAGGTAATTATTTTGGCATTTTGAGGTAATTACACCCATAAACATTAGTAGCATTTGATAAAAGTGAATAATTTTATTTATTAAAAACTATTCAGGTTCGGGATATCGTAAACTAAAAAAAAATATTGCAGGAATAGAAATGCCTTTAATGGCACATTCAAGTAGCCAAGTTTGGCTAACTTCCTACGAATATCTGCTAATATATTGTTACCAAAAGTAACTCCCTCTTTGACTGCCAGTATCCTAGTCATGATGGGAATGCTAAACGATTAAGTCTATGTCACGATCCGAAACATCATCAAGTCGTGATGACATCAAACCCAACCTGTTACGTAAGTTAAACAGTATAAGTTACTACTAAACTGAGAAATCATCAATATATTAATAAATATTATCACTTAATTTCAAATTTAAAACTTTAAAAGTTTAATTTAATGTCTTAAAATACTTATTTTATTATTTAGAAGTGTAAAGACTCAAGTATCAATTATATTGAACAAGAAATAATGAAACAACAACAACAATAATAAATCCAGCAAATTCTCCAAATAGGGTCTGGGGAGGGTGAGATATACGTAGCCTTACCCTTACCCTGAAAGGCAGAGAGACTGTTTTTGGAAGACCCTCGGCTAAAGAAAAAATAAAAAGAAGCAACGACAACAAGTATAAACAACAATAAGATAAAAAGAGGGTCGAAACAAAGGTAACAAATAAACGGTAGTAATAGCAATCTAAGAATAATTGGATAATAAACTAACACGCTACCTACTAATCTTCTACCCTAATCCTCGGCCTTCACACCTTCCTATCAAGAGTCGTGTCCTCAATAAGCTCCAGCTGCGCCATATCCCGCCTAATCACCTCTCCCCAAGACTTCTTTGGCCTACCTCTACCGCTCCTCATACCCACCAAGGTTAATGTCTCACACCTCCTCGCTAGGGATTCTATGCTTCTCCTCTTAATATGCTCGAACCATCTCAACCTCGCCTCCCCCATCTTATCCTCCAAGGGGGCCACTCCCACCTTATCCCGAATAACTTCATTCCTAATCTTATACAACTTGGCATGCCCAGACATTCATCTCAACATCCTCATTTCAGCTACTTTTATTTTTTGGACATGCGAGTTCTTGACCGGCCAGCACTCTACCCCATACAACATGGTCGGTCTAACCACTACTTTGTAGAACTTACCCTTAAGTCTCAGTGGTACATTCTTATCACACAAGACAGCAAAAACGAGCTGCCATTTCATTCACCCTGCTCCGATAGGATGCGTGACATCCTCGTCAATCTCCCCATCACCTTGTATTATAGATCCAAGATACTTGAAACTCTCTCTCTTAGGGATGACTTGTGTATCATGCCTCACATCCATGTCCGCTTCCTGGGTAACATTGCTGAACTTGTACTCCAAGTACTCCGTCTTAGTCCTACTCAATTTGAAACCTTTAGACTCAATAGTCTATCTCTAAACCTCCAGCCTCTCGTTAATACCACACCGCGTTCATCAATCAAAACTATCAACTGCAAATAACATACACCAAGCACGTCCCTTGAATATGTCCCATTCATGCGTCCATCGCCATAGAAAATATGAACGGGCTAATGGCTGATCCCTAATGCAACCCCATCACAACCGAAAAGTGTTCTGAGTAACCTCCTGTTGTCCTCACTCGTGTCTTAGATCCATCATACATGTCCTTAATCACCCTAATTTATGCTACATGCACACCTTTAGCCTCCAAACACCTCCATAGGACCTCCCTCGGGACATTGTCGTATGCTTTCTCTAGATCAATTAACACCGTATGCAAATCCTTCTTCATTGCTCTATATTGCTCCACCAGTCTCCTCACTAGATGAATGGCTTCCGTAGTCGAATGATCCGGCATGAAATCGAACTGGTTCTCGAAAATAGACACACTCTTCCTCACCCTCCCTTCCACCACCCACTGCTAAACTTTCATCATATGACTAAATAGCTTTATGCCCATATAATTATTGTAATTTTGGATATTACCCTTGTTCTTGTACAGCGAAATCATTGTACTCCACCTCCACTCCTCAAGCATCTTCATCATCCTAATATGACGTGAAACAACCTAGGGAGCCATTCCAAGCATGCCTTACCTGCGCTCTTCCAAAATTCTACAGGGATTTCATCTGAACTTGTCGCTCTACCCCTGCTCATCCTACGCATCGCCCCTCGATTTCTTCCACTCTAATGCGTCGACAGAACCCAAAATATTGATGACTCACGGAGTGCTCCAAATCCCCAGCACAATGTTCCTACCTCCTCTTTCATTCAAGAGTTTATGGAAGTATGACTGCCATCTCTGCCTGATCTATGACTCGTCCATCAAAACTCTACCTTCATCGACTTTTATGAACTTCACTTGATCCAGATCACAGTCCTTTATTTCTCTCACTTTGGCTAGCCTGTAAAGCTTCTTATCCCCGTCTTTATCCCCAATCTCCTCATACAAACATCCAAAAGCCACAGTCTTAGCCTCAGTAATCTCTAACCTCGCCCCCTTCTTAGTCTTCTTATACCACTCCCTGTTAGCCCTCATCTCCACTTAATCTACGCTCTCCAATAGCTTAAAATACGCTGTTTTCTTGACTTCCACTTTTTTTTGAACTTCTTCATTCCACCATCAGTCCCCTTATGGCCACCAGCGAACCCCTTCGATACCCCTAACACCTCTCTCGTAGCTTCTCTAATACAATTCATAATCATGGTCCACATACAACTCGTATCCCCACTACTCCTCCACGCCCCTATAGCCAGTAGCTTCCCCCAACTACTGGGTTTTGTCCTTAGTCAAGGCACCCTACCAGATCCTAGGTAGACCAGCCACAACCCTCTTTTTCCTTATCCGCATGATCGCTAATTCCATAACCAATAGCCTATGTTAGGTCGTAAGAATCTCGCTCGGGATGACCTTGCAATCCGTGAATTAAATACTATTGCACCTCCTGAGTAGTAGATAATCAATTTTGGTCTTGGCCACCATACTTTGAAAGGTGACCAAGTGCTCCTCCTTATTCTGAAGACACGAGTTAGCAATCACCAAATAAAATGCTTTAGTATAATCTAATAGCGAAGTACCTCCTTCGTTTCCGACATAAAAATCGAAGCCGTCATGTGCCCGTCATAAAACCCACACGACATCCCAATATGGCCATTGAAATATCCTCCCATGATAAGTTTCTTGGTGTGCGGTATTCCCCGCACCAACCCATCTAAGTCATACCAGAAGCTCCTTTTAACCTCCTCGTCCAAACCCACATGAGGCGCGTAAGTGCTAATTATGTTAAAGGTACATACTCCCACAACTATCTTAATAGACATCGGCTTGTCATTCACTCTCTTAACCTCTACCACTAGCTCTCTAAGTTCCCTATCGACTAAGTTGCTACCTCATTCTTCCCCTTCATCCCCCCGAGTACCACAACTTATATCAATCAACATCGCGTGCCTTAGTCCCTACGCATCTAGTCTCCTGGACATAGGCTAAGTTGATCTTTGATAATAGGCTACATAGACGATATTTACACCCTAATTATACCATGCTTTATTGTTGTTTTATAGGCTAAATGACAACAAAATGCTCTAATTGGTGTTCTTTTGCTTCGCAAGGACTATTCCAAGTTAGGAAGAACTATGGAGTGTTTTGGAGTCAATAATGTGAAGAAAACATCCAAGAAAGAAGCACCCGAGCGGAAAGAAGCAAAAAGGGGACTGGATTTGAATCCACCGCGACCGCGGTGGACCGCGGTGGGAGCGCGGCAGGCCACAAAATGCAGGTAGAATGTTATGCTCTCACCGCAGTCGCGCCGCGGCCGCGGTGAACTATGCAATTTCCCAGACTTTTGGAGAACAAAGTGTAACTCGGGGAAAACTTGTTCCAAACCCTTAAAAACTCAAGAAGCTCGCCCAAGAAAGTTGGGAAGCTGGTTTTTAGACTACTTTGGAGAAAGAACAAGTGTGAGAAGATCAACCAAACATTAGAGTTTTTTCTATCTCCTTTTAATTCTTGCAATTACACATTATGAATAATTATATAGTTTTATCTTGTTTTGTTATGAGTAGCTAAACAATTGATCTAGGGTTGATGGAACCAATTGTTGGATGAAGTTTTGACTCAACTTGTTATAATCGAGCCGAATTTATTATATAATTGTTCGACTACGTTTCCTATGGTGATTAATTGAATGGGCCCTTGATTAATCGTGTCTAATTGCCTTATATTGCTTGAGAAAGAATATTAGGTTAGACTGCTGTTGAACAACACCACTTTTGGGTAATTGAAGAGATTCATTACTTGAAGTTAAAAGTGGGGTTAGAGATAACGAAACTTTGGTGGGATAATTCAGAGCTGCACATATTTTCAGCTAAAGTAGTTCGAGAGAATGCTCTAGTAAATTATCGTAGTTGATCGAGAGATAATTACGATAACCCATAGCTCATAATCCTCATAGAGTAGTACGGCGAGATTATAGGAAAAGAGTTAAGACCTAAACTAGGGGGAAATCAATGCCCTAGACCTTTTTACCACTGAATTATCTTTGATTTAGCATATTGTTATTTTTAATATCATTTGAAGTAGTTAAACAAAAACTCAACCTTTATTGATAAAAATTTTGCATCTGGAAATTGTTTGAGTTGATAATAGCATTGCCAAGAGTTGTAATAGATAGGTTAGTTCCCTGAGGATTCGACTCCGGACTTAAAACCGAATTATATTTGCAACAACCGCTTTGTCTTTTAGAAGACATAGTTGGGCGTGATCAAATTTTGGCGTCGTTGCCGGGAATCTAACGGTGTTATTTATTACAACTTAGAAGTAGTGCTAGAATTATTAGTTTAGACCAATTTTTGAAGGTGTTAAACAATTTTTTTTCATTGAAATTCTCACGTTTGAACTCTTGTGGGATTCAGGTGTATGCCTAGAAAGTCTTCGAGGACTGGAGAACTGCTTGAAGGACTCTCAGAATCCAAGAAAACATTCATGGCATTGAACCGTGCCAACAAGAAGAACCAACAATCGCACCAACTTGAAATTGAGATGGGAGATAACGTCAACGGAAACATCAGGGATGACCAAGCTGACCCAAACGTCCGAGTGGTGGCACCTCTTATGCCAGAAGCTGCACTTTGTGATTGGGCACAACCCACAGCTGACAACCTGGCCACTGCCATTGTTGTGCCCCCAATACAAGCGGAGACATTCAGATCACCAACAACATGCTGCATCTTCTGCAGAATAAGGGATTGTTCTCCGGGTCACACGTTGAAGACCCTCAACAACACTTGAAAAATTTTATGTCGATTTGTGTGACTCAAAGGCAGCCGAATGTGACCCCAGAAGCTATTAAGCTATTACTGTTCCCGTTCTCTATGACTGGGGAAGCTCAGACTTGGCTGAATTCGCTCCCAATAAATTCCATTGTCACCTGGGAGGAATTAGTCAAGCAGTTCATGAATAAGTTTTACCCGCCCAACAAGACTGCAAAACAGATTGATGAGATACTGCAGTACAAGCAGCAGCCTACTGAGACCTTGCAGGAAACATGGGAAAGATTCAAAGGGATGCTTGTGAAGTGTCCCCACCATGGTATTCCAGACCAGATGCTCGGCCAGAGATTCTACATGGGGTTAGTTGACAATCTAAAGGCCAATGTAGACGCTTCATCTGGGGGTGCATTTTTGAGTAAGACATTCACCGAGTGCAAAATCCTTCTTGACAAGATGTCCCAAAATTCGGGGTGGATGACGAGAGGTACAACACTGGCACCAATAGTGCATTCAGTTCCTCTTGACCCAAATGATTCGCATGCAGAGAACATAGCCACACTCATGACTCAGATGAGTATATTGACAAAGAAGATTGATAAGATGGGTACAAAGCAAGTTCATATTGTTGACACTACAAATGGAGGACTGTGTACACCCTGCGTTAATCAGTCTTATGTGTGTTCATGGAGTGGAGAAGGTGATAACCAAGGGTTAAGAGAGGATATGAATTATGTCAACAACTTTGGGGGTCAGAGACAAGGAGGACAGCAGTGGAGACCGGCACCAAATCAGCAGTATAGACCAAACATGCCACAACCTGGGGGTATGCAACCCCAAGGCCAAGTGGTGCCATATCAGAGACAACAAGGCTATCCACAGCAGAACCAGCAACAATAGGCATATCAGCCACCTCCTCAGCAACAAGATAACAACATGGTAGAGATCAGGGGTATGCTTCAACAACTCATTGGAACAAATGGTAAGATGCAGGAAAAGTTGGCAGTGCATGACTCAGCGATAAAGAACACTGAAACGCAATTAAGGCAGATGTCTATGGCCTTGAACAACCGCCCCCAGGGAACATTGCCAGCAGATACGAACATTAACCCCAAGGAGCAAAACCCAAATCAGCTGATGGCAGTAAGTCTCCGAAATGGGAGAGATTTAGACAGGGAGCAAGAAGTTGCACAATCCAGCAAAGAGACTACGCCAGCCACTCCAGTTCCATTGGAGGTAGATGAATCAGCGGAACTTACTGAAGTGGTGGTTGAACAGGTTCAGAATGATAAGGGTAAGGCTAAAGAGAGTGAACAAGCTGCAGAACAGGTGGTACCTCTTGTGCCACAGAACTCCAATAGAGAGAAGCCAGCAAGCAGTGCAAAAAGGGTGATACATGCACCGTTCCCTCAGAGACTGGCAAAACAAAAGAAGGAAGATCAATACAGGAAATTCATTGAGATGCTACGTCAAATTCAATTGAATATTCCTCTAATGGATGCTTTGAGGGAGATGCCAGGCTATGCAAAGATGATGAAGGACCTAATGTCACGAAAGTTTGATTTTCAGGACCTATCCACAGTAACTCTGACACAGACCTGCAGTGCAGTAGTGACAAGACCCATGGCTCAAAAGATGTCTGACCTAGGTAGCTTTACTATTCCATGCACTATTGGGAGTTATGCCTTTGCAAAGGCATTTTGTGACTTAGGAGCCAGCATAAACTTGATGCCGCTGGCCATATATACCAAACTAGGCATTGGCAGAGCTAGACCGACTTTGATGCTTTTGCAACTGGCTGATCACACGGTTAAAAGGCCGACAGGGATTCTTGATGATGTGTTGGTACAAGCGGGGAAGTTTGTATTCCCTGCAGACTTTGTTATTCTGGATTGTCAGGTAGAAGAAGAGATACCTATCATTTTAGGGAGGCCATTCTTAGCCACTAGGAGAGCACTGATCGATTGTGAAACTAGGGATTTAAAAATGAGGTTGAACGATGAAGAAGTCATATTCAATGTTCAGCAATCCATGAGGAGGCCCAGTGAATATGCTAATTGCTCCCTAGTGGAGGCAGCGGATGTGATCCTACACGAAGATGATGAGACCCTGACTGCTAAAGATCCATTGGGGGCTTGCTTGACAAATTTAGAGGAGATAGATGATGAAGGGTTGGCAGAGTGGGTCATGGCACTCGAAGGCGAAGGATTCTGGAAGAGGGCACCTCAGTTCGAGTCCCTTGAGTTAGAAAAGAGGGCTACACCGCCGGTAAAA